AGTCCTCTGGCCGTCGGGGGTGTGTCTGCCCTTGGCTGTGACGCCCTAGAGGACAGGCAGTTTGAGCTAGAGTTCCTGGCGGCCGCTTCCCCTCATCTCTGTGCCATGCTCCTCGCCCCTGAGGGTGACCCCGACGCCCTTGACATTCCGACTCCTCGCACTTACGCTGAGGCAGTGTCAGGGCCTTGGGCATCTCAGTGGAGAGCTGCCATGGACGCAGAGATGGCCTCCTACAGATCCACAGGCACCTACGTCGATGAGGTTCCCCCCCCTGGGGCGAACGTAGTCGACGGCATGTGGATCTACAGGGTGAAGCGGCCACCGGGATCTCCCCCGGTCTTCAAGGCGCGCTACGTGGCTAGAGGTTTCAGTCAGCGCGAGGGAGTTGACTTCTTTCAGACCTTCGCACCTACCCCGAAGATGACCACTCTTCGGGTGTTACTACACGTAGCAGCACAGAGAGACTACGAGTTACACTCTCTCGACTTCTCCACTGCTTTCCTTCAGGGCAGCCTACACGAGGAGGTCTGGTTGCGTCGTCCCTCGGCCTTCACTGGCACTTTCCCTCCTGGGACCCAGTGGAGGCTGAGGCGACCTGTTTACGGTCTTCGCCAGGCCCCTCGCGAGTGGCACGACACTCTGCGTTCTACCCTCTCTGACCTTGGGTTCCAGCCGTCTTCTGCCGACCCGTCGCTGTTCGTTCGTCGTGGCTCCACACCGTTCTTTGTTCTGGTCTACGTCGACGACCTCGTTTTCGCCACTCCGGACAGGGTTGCTTTGGCAGACGTGAAGTCCGAACTGCAGAAGAGACACACGTGCACTGATCTTGGTGAGCTGCGCCACTACCTTGGCCTGCAGATCACCAGGGACAGAGCCGCTCGCACCATTACACTCTCACAGTCACACATGGTGCAGCAGGTCCTTCACCGGTTCGGGCTTCAGCACTCCACCGTACAGCGCACACCTCTCGCTGTTGACCACAGACTCACTGGTCCCTTTCCTGACGAGCCGTTTGAGCCTAGTGGTCCCTACGCAGAGCTTGTGGGTTGCCTCATGTACCTGATGACTTGTACTCGCCCGGACCTCGCCTTCCCTCTCAGCATCCTTGCGCGCTTTGTTGCGCCAGGGAGACACCGTCCTGTTCACTGGACGGCAGCTGTGAGGGTGGCGAAGTACCTAGCGACTACATCAGGCGTGGGGCTAGTTCTTGGAGGGCAGCAGTCTGTCGTACTCACTGGTCACTGTGACTCCTCTTACGCTGACGACGCTGAGACTCACAGGTCTACTTAGGGGTACTGTTTCAGTCTGGGTTCTGGAGCTGTTTCCTGGCGTTCCACGTACTCCTCTTCTGTCTCGACCTCTACAGCTGAGGCTGAGATTTACGCTGGTGCCATGGCGGCACAGGAGTTGCGGTGGTTGACCTTCTTGCTCGCCGACCTTGGTGAGCGGCCGAGCTCTGCACCGACCTTGTTTACTGACAACAAGGCGTCGATCCTCCTCTGTCGTGAGCCGCGACTGGAGAGCAGAGTGAAGCACATTCACGTCAGGTACTTTCTTCTGCGAGAGTTGCAGAGACGTGGACAGGCTCGCTTCGAGTTCGTGGAGTCCGAGGCCAACACTGCAGACATCTTCACCAAGGCGCTTCCGCCTTGTGACCACCAGAGGTGTTGTGTGCAGTTAGGCCTTGTTGACACAGGTTCTAGTCATGTGTAGACTTGAGTTTATTGCCTGCTTCGTCTGTACACTTGCTATATATATTTGTTTTCTTTTGGACTGGTCTTGTGACCGTACTCTTTTTGATTTTGCTAGACACCCCTCACTTAGGCTATGGGGGTGTGTCAAATGTTGTAGCCTGTAGTGAGGTTTGTCTTAAGGGGTACAGAAGTTAGGGTTTGTCATATGTACCCCAACCAACATCAATGGACACACCATTCCTCATTCTGACAATTATATACCGTACTCCTAGTGGGTGGTGTCCAGGGCTTTTTTTTGGATTTTCACTACTCGGATTTCCAGAGCTGTTTTCTAGAGAACTCTGAAATTTAGGGTTCATTATGAGTGTTACTCTGATTTGTCAGAGAAATCTTAACTTCTGAAAGTTTTACTCTGGGCACCCAGTGTACCTATTTTTATGACTCTGAGTGTCCTCTCAAGTATTGAACCCAGGCCTTCTGCACTCCTACCAAGAAATTACAATTTTAAACACACAAAGTGTTTTTCAAAATTACGTATTTCGAAAGCGCAGCTGCTTGTAACGCATGTTTTGGCATCGTCGAAGCGCGCTAAACGCCCTTCTCCAACTACAAATCGTGGGTTGGAGCTCATTTCCCTCCACCCACGTCTCTCGTTTTCCAACGGCTCATGCAACTCCATTTTCTCGAGCTCACTTCTAGTTTTACCGTTCAAGCTGGCGAGGACTCGCTCATTACCTAGAGGCGTTTCTCCTTCAACTTTATTAGCCGACATCCTTAACCAAAACCGCTCAACGATGGCTGCGACGCCGACGCTTATCCGTGCTAACAACATCGTCGCCAACGACCCGATAATTTCCGACAACGTCCGTAATGCCCGTGAAACGACGGCCGAGCGTCGCAACAAGCGCCAGGCAGACGGCGAAACATCCGCCCCGACCGCCGTGGACGTGCTGTTGGGCGGGCTCGAAGTCAACAAAAACGCCGAGCAGCACCCCCAGCACCCTTCGGCGCCTGTGGCGCCAGTGGCACCTGTGGCGCCAATGGCGCCTGTGGCGCCTGTGGCGCCAGTGGCGAACGTGGCGACACACGCCGCGGACGCGGAGCACGCGCCAGCGGCACACGCCTCCGGCCGGCCGTCGCGTCAGCGCCAGAGGCGCCGTACGGCTGCCTCGTTTGACGCAACGGCTGACCAGGCCTTGACCGAGGCGTTGACCCCGGACCAAGTCAAGGCCCTCCTGTCCCTGTTACAGCAGCACCCCGCTAGCGCGATCGCCGCCGAAACTACACAACCTGCTGCATCTGCATCGGCTAAAAACGACATTGCAAAAAAGGAAAAAGGAGCAAAAGGACCATCAACGCGCCGCCACGACAAGGAGGTTGTTACCAGCGCTCCTGAAGCTGCAGCAGTCAACAACGACTCCGACGACTCAGACGACGACGCCGAGATAACACGACGCGAGACGCTAGGCGACGGAGATCCGTACGAGTTCGCCGTCACTGACAAATCTGTCACGCAAATGCGCGGGCGGCTTCGCGCAACCCTTGCATGGTGGAGCTCGTGGTGCCCCAGCAGCCTCATCCTCTCCGTCATCGCTAACGGTTACTGGCTGCCATGGAGCCACAACCCACCACAACCGTTTCACGAGCGCAACCACCTCGGGGCGCACACGCATGCTGCGTTCACACGCACTGCCATTCGCGAACTTACCGAGACCGGCGCGGCGGTGGTCACCCCAGCAGCGGAGCTCACATGCATAAGCCCTCTCAACGTGGTTGAGCAACGAGAAAAGTGCAGGCTAATCCTCGACCTCAGAAAAGTGAACGCGCACCTGACCATCCCTAAATTCAAATACGAAGGCCTAAGCCGCGTGGCCGACCTGGCACGCATGGGAGATTGGATGTTCTCCATCGACCTCAAATCGGGATACCACCATATCGACATACACAACTCTTGCTGGAAATTCTTAGGCTTCGAATTTGAAGGGCGCACGTACGCCTTCCGTTCACTACCCTTTGGCCTCGCCACGGCACCATTTGTCTTCACGCAGCTCATCAAACAACTAGCCAGGCGCTGGCGTGAACAAGGCGTTCGAGTGATACCCTATGTGGACGACATCCTGTTCTTATGCACGTCCAAGGCCCACGCACAAGCAACATGCCAGCAGATAATTTCGGACCTCAAGATGGCGGGCTTGGTGATTAACGCGAAAAAGTCGCAGCTGCTGCCATCCCAGCATCTGCGATTCTTGGGCGTCGAAATGAGAACGATGCCAAATGATAAGTAAGAGAAAGCAAGCTTTCTAAATGACTAAATGTTGTGCTACGCGCTCACTAATCTACTTGATTACGGATTCGTATAGGTCTACTTAGTCTGCCCATCTTCCAACAATTGGGGGGGAGAAGGGGGTGCAGGGGGGGTCGGTCGAAATGCCTATACCCTGTACAGAGAAAAGTACATCCGCCACAAATATACACTGGTCTCTCAGAGAAGCTAAAATCAGAACCCAGACAAATCAGAGAAAACTTATCCTCCAAAAAAATTACCCTGACACGTCAGAGTGACCCCCTAAAAACCACTCTGATTTTCAGAGAAACATAGTAATTTACTCTGATAAAAAACCCCTGGTGGTCTCACTCCGTTGGACCATGCATGTTGTTTGCACCCTTCCACTCAAGCCCAAATCGCATGCGAAAGACATAAGGCCCGTTTTAGGGAGGCAAAATCCAGCAAGTAATTTGGCTTCTTGCTGGATTTGGCCCATTTTATTCTCGCATTTAAGGTACCTGCATTGTTAGGACAACCAGTACCGTATATGGTACCTGGCTACAATGTCAGAAATCTACTTGCAAGATATGATCAGTAGTAAGGTAGTGTAGTGTGTTCTCCATTTATCCCGAGAGTATTCTGCGTTTGATCCAATTCGTGTCCTGCTTTCATTGGCAATCCATTGCCTGGTGCCCACGCACGCACCCTCTATCCTCCTCCCAAAATCCTTCACGTGGCAATCTGACCCACTTCATTCGTCAGAATGCGCTCATCCGTACGTGGCACCTCCACGCTGTCTCGTATTCACGAGCCGCCTCACGTGTACTGCTGCAAGCAATCCATTCCCAGAGTTGTTTTGAGCGCGAACATAAATCGCTATTGGTGGATTGTGTGTTACTACCGTACATTTTTCTCTCCTTGCTCCAAATTTCGCACCTTCTGCCAGTCCCCTTACTCCGTAGTGGAGTCCAGAAGCTCCCGACGCAGTTCCAATTTCCGCAATTACGCGCCCGAAAGACGTTTTTTTCTTGTGTCCCGCAATGCAGGGTCTAGATTCCATCCGGCCTGTTCCAGCGGGCCCCGCGGAGGGCAAACCGTCACTCACTGCGCCCGCGCCAGCGCCGGAAGCCGCCAGCCATGCTATCGCGGAAGAACATGCGGGCGCCGCCAGCGGTACGAGCGGCGCGGAAGGCGGCGCCCCCGCAACGTCGGCGCCTGGCGGAAGGGGACAGCGGGGTGGGCGAGGGCGACAGCGGGGTGGTCGAGGGCGCGGAAGGGGAGGGGCGGGCGCGGAGAGCGGAGGGGATGGAGGAGAGAGCGGGAGCGGTGATGTGACCAACCATCTCGGCGGAAATGCGGAGGTCAGCGGCGGAGACGGAGGAGGCGGAGGCGGGGGAGGGTGCGGAGTTATGGGGGGAGGCGTGACGGGAAGTCGTGGCGGCGCGGGTGGCGGCGCGCAGTGCTCGTGCGTGTCGTTTTCCCCGGAGATGCAGCGCGCTTTCTTCGAGCTGCACGCGCTGCGGCTCGGAACGGACAAGGCGACGTACGGCGACACACTCGAGTGGCTGCTGAACGCCGCGAAACCCGCTATCGAGCAGCTTAAAACGGGGACGGGAGGAGTGGGGGCAGGAGGCGGGGCGCGTTCCGCTAAGAGCGGCAAGAGGAGAAACCGCAATCGACGTAAACAGGGGCAGATGGGGGATCAGCAGGGCGCGGGAGGGGAGGGGGGAGCGGAGGGCGGAGCGGGAGGAGCAGAAGGAGGGGGTGTAGGAGGGGGGGAGGGAGGGGGAGTGGGAGGGGGGGAGGGAGGGGGAGTGGGAGGAGCAGTAGGGGGGGCAACGTGATGGGGAGAGGGTGGGGTATAGTGAAGAGTAATGGGAGGAGGGAGAGAAGCAGTGCGATGCTGTTGTGTGTGATGCACGAGAGTGCGGTGCTGTTGTGTGTGATGCACGAGAGTGCGGTGCTGTTGTGTGTGATGCACGAGAGTGCGGTGCTGTTGTGTGGTGCTGGCTCGGTGGGTGCAAAAGAGGAGAGTGTGTCAATGCACTCGAGGTATGCTCTTTTACGGTAGTTGACACGAGTTAGAATGATATGGCACGAGTTGACATGGGGTGGCATGAGTAGACTCGAGTTGAGATGCTTAAACCCTCAAGCCTCTGGTGTTGACGGGTAGAAGAGCAGCAAGGGGGCACACAACAGAATAGAGTAGCTTGGTTTGTAGCAATGGAAAATGCTCTTGGCTTTTCTTTTCTTTTGGGTGTTGTGGAGTTTGCAGACGAATAGTTTGTCAGCAGATAGTGTGTTGTGCGCCCTAAATACCACTCCCAGCCTTGGTTCCAATTATCAGCTTCTACCAACCTATAAATCAGTATGTTTCCAATCACTCTGCCCTCCCCGAAACGCCATCACAACATCACCACACCATCAAGCACACCAGTCGAACGCCATATCAGAGCCGCCATTCAAAGCCACATCAGAGCCACATAGGAGACATCTCTCATTGCAAGCCTTGCCCTTGCTAACATGTAACCGCCCCGTCGCCATCACTGCATAAGGTTCCCGACAAAGCCCACTCCACTCCCTCTCTTGAAATTTGAGATATTCCAGGTGATCACAGTGCTTGCTTCACCTCAGACCAGCAAACCTTGAGGCGCTGCCACCACCACCATTGCCGTAACCTCCACCACCACCACCATCACCATCCATCATAGAACACCCATCACTGCCATCACTCCCATCACTGCACCAAGTGTTTGACACCCGGCAGCACCATCCCAGGCTTGACAGCCCCATGGCTCAACGGCTTGACCACCCCTCTCACCGTAATCACTGCCCCCTCCTCCCCATCCCCTCCCCCCCGGCCCACCCTCCACTCCCTCTTCTTGCTCCTCGCCTGCTTCTTCTGCTTCTTATGCTCTGCCTTTGCCGGCTGCTGCTGCCTCCTCCCCCCTCCACCTGCCTGGCCTGCACTAGCAGCACCACCAGCAGTGGTGCTGCCGCTTCCCCTGCTTTCCCCGCCCTCGTTATAGTCAGCATCACCAAGAGAACCACCCGCAGCAGCAGCAGCAGCGGCGGCCTGCTGGGCCTCTTCCAGAGCCATACCTCCGAAATGCTCCAAGTCAACTGCGTCTAGAACCAGAAGTTCCCCTTCCTCTCCCTCTCCCTCTCCCTCGCCCTCTCTTTCTCCTCCTGCTCCTGTGCCTAACCAATTTTTGTCACTAAAACTCTCTTCTGGGCAGCCTGGGGGCAGCTCGAAATGTGGCAGCTTCCCACTCAAATAGTCCTTCAAAATGATTCGGGCTGCCCGGGTTTCATCGGGCAGCCCGGAAGAAACCACGTGCCCTCGTGACCGGGCATAGGCTTTAAGAATCTCCACTGCCTTCGGGGGTCTGTCAGGTCTTTCATGGGCAGGTGGAGGCGGAAAAGTCAGCCCGTAAATACTTTCAAGGGCTGCCCGAGGAACTTTTCGAGCAACCACTTCAACGGGCCCTCTTTGATCCGTGATTCGGTCAACGGGCAGCACTCCAGCTGCCACCATTTCTGACCGGGACGACGCAAACGACGGGAAAACCAGCCCCGGGCAGTCGCAGAGCATCAGCGAGTCCGACACGGGCAGCGTCTGAAAATGTTTTGTCTTGCCCGGAGTGGACGTGACGCCGGTTTTTTTGGACCCAACAAGGGCGTTGATAGTAGAGCTCTTACCCACGTTGGGGTAACCCACAAATCCCACAACCACTCTCTCCTGCCCGTCCTGCTTATCCCTTCTCCCCCCAGATGCTCCTGCTGAAGCAACGGCAGGAGCACGAGCAGCAGCAGTAGCGGCGGCGGTGGCGGTAGCAGCAGCGATGGCAGAAGCTTTCGCCTCGAGCAGCCGTAATAGGCTGTCCTTGCCGTGTATCCTCACATCCTCTTTAGTCACCCTCACTCTCACACTCCCCTTCCCCTCAACATTCTCACTTCCCTCTTGCTCCTTCTCACTAACTTCACCTGCTTCCCCACTTTCCTCCTCCTCGCCCTCTTCCTCATCCTCCTCCCCGTCCGCCTCCTCCCACTCACCCTCACTCTCATCCTCCTCCTCCTCCTCCTCCTCCTCTCCCTCCTCCCCCTCCTCCTCCTCCTGTCCCTCCTCCTCCCCATCCACCCCTTCAGCAGCAGCCTTAGCAGACCAGAAGGCGAACTCAACGCCCTGTCCTTTCAGCCACTCAGCCCACAGCCGCCGCACACCAGAAGGCAGAAGATCCGCCTTGTTCAGCAGCAGCAGAGTCCGGCTCGGCGAACCCTCCCCTCCCTCCCTGCTGCTGCTGCTGCTCCCGTCTGCCAAATCCTTATTGCTCTCGTCTTTCGAGTTGCTGGTGCGCAGGTTGTTGCTGCTGCTCTCGTTGCTGTGATAAGGCCCTGCTCCCAGCTCGTGCACGTACGCTTCGAGGTCAGAGCAGCGGTAGAAGAGCGGATCTCGGCTGTCCACCACGGTTACCACCTGGATACGAGGTTACAAAGAATGTCATGGTCGTGAATGGAAAATTAGTTTTCTTGCAGCAGGTGAAGGCAGTAGCATGCATGACAACCACCAAAACTGGCGTAATGACCACGTAACCACATGCCACTGGTAACCAAGTAACCACCTTATTCAATGGTAACCAACTGGTTACCAGATAACTATGCACTCGCAATCACCCAGCAACTGGTAACCGGGTAACCACTCACCAGGTGGCTTCTCTCCAGCACTCGCCACAGCTGTCGCCAGATGTCAAGGTTCTTCTCGAATGGGGTTACCACCAGGTGGTTGTTCTCCTCCACCCTGCCACATTGTCACACCACACCACATTCGTTACAATCACATCGTGACACGCAGGACGCAACGCACATGAGCATGCACCATCAGCACGCGCCACTGGGAATCATACATTCCCCCTTCCCCCTCACCCTCCCCATCATGCAACATCATCAGCAACTACACCTTCGATCCCTAACTCACTCTTGCCATCCCTCCCCCTCCCCACTCGGCCCCCACCCCTCCCCCACTCTTCCAATTCCTTCCTTGCGCCACTCACGCGGAGAGCGATCGCCTCCATTCCAGGAAAGCCGCCTTCTCACTAGCGTCCAATTCTGCTGACGTCATGCTTGCGCTCCACTTGGGCCTGGGGCCGAAGAAGTGAGAGCGGCGGATGGGAGGGAGACGAGGAGAAACGGGAGCAGAGGGAGGGTGGAAGAGGAAGGAGGGGAAGGGGAAGGGAAGAAGGGTGAGAAGGGGAAGTATGCATTCTTTTCACCTCATCATGTCTTTCAATTCCACAGCATAATTTTGAAATTTCAACCACAGATGATCATTCAACTCAGCTCGTGCCAACTTCTCTTCACGAATCACTCAACAGACGTGCAAGTAAGTTTCCCTCCCTTCATCTCATCCCCTTCTCTGTTCTTCTCCCTCCCCACTTCCCTTACCCTCTCTCATTCCCTCTCCTCTCCGCTCACCGTCTTGGGATGGTAAGAAGCTTCCTGTGAAGTTCCTCCTGCTCCCTGCGCTCGCTGCTGCTTCCGCCTTTCCCACCTGCAGCTCCCACGTCATGACTGCCGTGATTCGGAGAAAGAAGGGGGGGGGAGGAAAGGGAAGGGGGCGGGGAGGGGAGGGGAAGGGGGAAATGGGAGGGGTGAAAAGGGAAGGGAGAAAAACGATTTTTTGTGAAAGTTCCAGGGGAGAAGGCGGGCTTTTTAGCCCTGAGCTTATACATCCCCATTCAAAGAATCAATCAAGGGAGGGTAGAAGGAGAACTATTTATTTCCGTGACGATTTGGGTGTGAGTATGTAAGGCGAAAGTCCTCCAGCGAGAATTGGGTTGCGTTTTTCAGAATTCTGAATAGCTTTTAAGAGCTTTGAATAGCTTTTTAGAATTCCGAATGGCGATTAAGGCTACCAGCGAGAGCTGTGTGGAGCGAGTTGCGGGGGAAGAGACTCGTTGTGAGGGTTGGGAGGTGGATGGGGGTGTCTTAAACGCCTAGAAACAGACTCTCCCACCTTGCGCCCCCTCGTCCCGTGAAGAGTCGGTGTGGGGGGAGGGGATGAGGGTGGTTTGGGGGGTAGACGGGCGCGCCAATCAGCCTTCCGCCGCCCAGCCTAAAGACACTCTCGCAGGCGAGAGTTGCGAGCAGAGAGAAGTGGGTGGAGAAATGTGGACGGCGGACGGCGGACGGCGGAGAGCGGAGGGCGGAGGGCGGAATGCGGAGGGAGGAGGGCGAGAGGCGGCTCAGGGTTAAAGCGCGCCAGGAATACAAATTGCGGGGTTTACGACGACGATACTTAAACCTTCGCATGTGCCTGTAATATGACCCCTCAGTCATAGATTCGGGTTCAGGGTTCGAGGTTTACATGGAAAACCCTGAATGGACGCATCTACACGTAGCAGCTTTGCCGCCATCTGTGCTGGCGCCCGAGAGATTACTGGCAAGAGCAGCAGCGCACAACCCGCGGAAGAAACAACACACGACCAGAAAGTACAGCTAGAGATCCCACAATCTAGGGGGGCGAAACCAAACCCTACACCCATATATTCTTTCTGATCTTTCCGCTTCTCACCCATCTAGGTAGATTATCTCAGCGTTGCCTCTTTGGGCGGCGAACTCCCGCCCTGCCAGCTCAGCAGTCGTCAGCAGCTCCTCCAGGTCACTCTGATCCACCACCGACACCAGCGCCGGCTTCGCCGCCGCTTCCGCCGCGGCGATGACGTGGCGTCGGCCCTCGTCGGCGTGCTGAAACTCCGAACCGCGGTTGAATCTATGGCGGATTAAAGACGAGCCCAGGCTCCCGGAGCCTCCCTTTTTCTTCGGCATAGCGGCTACGAATCAAGTATGCAGTCTCGCCGACGCGGGATGCGGTGATACAGGCTTTGCCCTGAGTTACGAATCACGATGCGGATGTACAAGCGCAGGAGCGGAACTAAGACGCTTAGCTACGAAGAATCGGAGTTAACACTAGCCTTTGCAAACAAGCGGGATTACGGAGGTGACAGAGGGTCTGCAACGAATTCGGTCTTCAGGGTTTTGAAGGATGAATAGTGTCTACAGATGATGGATCATCGAAGTCTGACTCGCGTTAGGTGCTTCGCTTCCACATAATGTGGGTTTCAACTACGAGTATTGCGAAACGCTTACTAGTAAAAAATTGGCCAACGACAATGCATAACTAAGAGGCCAACTTAGGCATACTCTTTTCAAGAGACTAATCGAGTAGCGCCCGATATCAAACACAAAAATTGATTGGTATATTATCGTTCTCGCATGTTTCTCTCCAGTAGTGTAAAACTGAAAAAAATGACTAGCATCTTGACCAGTAGAGCATACTCTAAAGGAACATCTATCAATGAGTTTTCTTACCCATAACGAAGCACGGAACCTTGCTCCCAGGATTGGACACGCATTCTGGGATAGGTTCTGCTTGTACGCGTCAGTAGTAGGCAAGGTTCATCCGCCCCTCGCTTGGCATCCCACAACCACAAACATCCACAATTCCACGTGCAAGCGGACATCGAGTCACGGTGCTTTCGAAGCCAATTTTCGCTCGTTCACTTCACATCTGAACTCAACCTGGAAATTGGCGCCGCGTTGCAATCACGTCATGCTGGGGTGGAATGGATGGGCGGCGCGGGAATATCATCGTGAGAGCCACTCATTACGCACGATAACCAGGATGGACCTGGGCTAACATCTCGAGCAATTCACATTTCTGGGGAAAATTCAGCCTTCACCGGGACAGCCTGCTGATTACGTCCCAGACGAGTCGCCTGTGTGCCCGAAGAGGAATTTAACGTTTGGCGACAGTGATGGGACTTCGCTAGGGGAGAGTCCAGATGTGGCTGAATTTCGCCGTTCGTTCGCTCGCCTCAGCATTCCTCTTCGTGAAGCTTTCGCGAAACCCCTCACAAGCAGCCCAACCCAACCCACAAAGCACGAGGATGTGCTGCGATGGGGACGCGACGCGATTCGTGATACACCACAACTTTCTTGCCATACAAAAACTCGATCCTCAGCTATTATTTTCATCATCGACTACAATTGCTTCTTCAATCCCAGTGCATCCGTTTTCTTGACAATTAGAAGCTAACAGCAGCAAGCCATGGCTCGCTCAATCGCGGTCGCCCTTGTGCTGCTCGCAGCTTTCGCCGCTGTCGCCAATGCCGCAACTGGGGCTTTCACCTATGAGAAGAGCGGCATTGACTGGACGGTAAGGACCAATATCCACACTGTCCGTAACCCCCCCCCCCCCCCCCCACCCTCACCCCCCCCAGTCTCAATTCTCCTCAATTCTCCAATTGTCGAACACTCAGCAATCGTAGCACCGAGATTAACCGCTATCCTTTCGCTCTCTGTATCATCGCAACGATCTCACTGTGTACGCATTTCCGCCATGTCGCTCGCTAACCTCCACACTCATTCGCCCTTTCGATGTTCGTTTGGATGCGATGATGCCGCAGGGCGCGTGCGCGACGGGCGAGCGCCAATCGCCGGTGAACATCGTGATGGACAAGACAGTGCAGAGCAAGAAGCCGGAGCTCTTCTCGCTCGAGTACGGCAGCACCAGCAAGCAGGCGTCCGTCGTCAACAAGGGCTCCACCATCCGTGAGTCCCAAACTCAGATTGCTGCGGATAGCTTAGCGTAGCGCGAAAAGCACGACTTCGTCAAATTAATCGAAATTCCGAATTTGCTTCATTCGACCACACATTCGAGAGGTTGAATATGAAAGTCGACTTTGCTTTTATGATTCTTTCCCGCTTCCCGATCACCCGAAGTGCCTTCCGACACTCACTTACCATGTCTCAATCCCCCACCATCTTTTCATTCTGTTTTCCTCCGCGCTGCTTTCTTCCAGAGGTGATTCCCGCACCGGAGGAGACCCACCTGCTGCACCTCGCATCGGGCGACTACAAGTTGCTGCAGATGCACGTGCACACGTACTCGGAGCACGCGATCAACGGGCTCTTCGCGCCCATGGAGGCGCACTTCGTGCACGTGAACACGGTCGATCCCAAGAAGCTCGCCGTCGTTGGCGTCATGCTGCGCGTGCACCGCCACGACGACGACTCCGCGTGGGTCAACCAGTGGCTGCCGCAGGCGCCCCTCGAGAACAACGCGAATGCCACCATCTCCATCACGCCCAACTTCTGGAGCGAGATGATCGACGCGTCGTCCGGCTTCTGGGCGTATCCCGGCTCGCTCACCACGCCCGAGTGCGACGAGATTGTTTCGTGGCACGTGCTGCGCAAGGCGCAGCCGCTCTCCGTGGCGCAGACGATTCAGTTCATGAACATTATGGCGGTTTCCAACCAGGATCGCACCGACAACCGCATGCCCCAGCCGCTTAACGGCCGCACCATCTACTTCCACTACCCTGCTGCTGCCGCCAAGTAAATAAATGGCTTGACTTTTTCGTGCCATGGTAGGATGCGGTAGCCAGAGTGTAGCTCCTACCTTGCATTGCAGTCTTGCGTGGGCTTAAAATGAAACGTCAATCTGGCTCCCACCTTGTTACGTATCCAATGAGCTAGTTCATGATTGATAATGATCCAGTCCTCTTGCTCACACAATACCGGATTCCCTAACAACAATTATATCAAGTGCGCACCAAGGGGTGAAGGTTCCACCTCCAGCTTTCCTTGTGCTGTTTGCCTTTCTCCTCGTGTAGTTTGGAAGTCAATCTATCTAAAACTGGTACTTAGCAGCTGTGTGTCTGCCACGAGTTCAGGCTTCTATCCCAATCTTCACTTTCCAGTTCATCTATATACTTGATGAAAGAGAATACTCTGCATGTTTGAATCTAGTGCTTGCACAAGAAATGCCATTTTGTCTTAATGCTAAGCTATCATCTTCCAGCTCTGGCTCGTGGGTCATATGTGAACATAGAACGAGAATTAGACTAACCTCTAGATCTGCCTCTGATCTTCTGGGAGGCGCATCGTGGCAGAAGATGTTTCTGAGTCTGATTTACAGACAATGCTGTCAGTTTTATCAGTGTAGACGTAGGTGCACATTGAGCTAAATGAGGGGGTTTGTGATTTTGAATATTTAACCGAATGTGAAATATGATACACATACCACGTGTAGTCAGGGAATAATTTTCCAAGTATCGAGCTTTTCCCTCCGAACCAATCTCTGACGCAGGAGCTGCCGGAAAATGCGTCTTGGCAGATGACGATTTTCCACCCATTTGCCAACATGCGCCTCGATTAGGCGAATTTCGCGACTTGGCAGGACCACGCGCGATTCGATACTCGTCAAATTTTCGCTCAAATGTTGCCACCGCACAGCGGGACGGGAATTGGAAGCCCCTCTTCGTGCAATTCGCGCCCCTTTCTGCTCTGTGGGTTGGATCCCATGAGCCAGGTTTGCACTGGGGAGTGAGATGGGATGGGATGGGAGACCTGTAATTTCGAGCTGAGTTGCTGCAGTGGATGGAGCTGCCCTTGCCGTTTTGACTTGCTCCAACCGCATGGAAGTTGGTCAAACAACCATATCACCACCTCGCGAGCGAGACACAAACACACAGCTGCTTACCTTAAAAAGGTCACGACGAGCAGTTGTCAACGCAACTATTTAGAGCGTTCCACAGTCCAGGGTGGCAGGTAGGCAGTCCAAGCACACAATCATTCGTACCACCTCCTGTATCTCTTTCGTTTAGGATTTCGGACCACCACATTGAGTCTTAGCTGCAAGAAGGCAATAGTTTTCTCCGTAATAACAGCAATCTGCTATCCGCTGATAGTGGCGACCATGGGGGATACCACGAAACGCTTGAAACCGTTGCTCTTGCTAATTTTCGTCGCCACCGCGACGCAAGGTGGCGCGGCGTTGGGCGGGCTTCCGAACACGCCATGCGAGGGCGACGCCAGCCAATCCGCGCATTTCTGGTGGCCACGTGCCGTCAGAACCGTCCGCGGCAGAAGCGCTCTCGAGACAGCAGATGCAGGGAGCGACGGTTTTGCGGCGATGGGGACAGCTGCCGTGCCTCGGAAGCTCGGCGCGCAGTTGGCGGCGCCATCCGCCGGTCCCACTTTCGCGGAAGTTCTCGCTGCGTCTGTCGTTACCCCTGGCAGCGCCGATCCCGCTGGGGCAGTTACCGCCACGCCTCTCCCTGCTGCTTCTGCCGCTGCTGCCGCGCCTGCAGCTTCCCGGCCCGTCGTTTCCACTAACGCAGCTCCTACCGCTCCGGTGAAGACTCTCACTGGGAAACCCACGCCTGCTGCACTCGCCAAGGGAAAACCAGCCAGCAATGGCGCCGCCGCAGCCGCAGCCGCCGCTCCTGCGCCGAAGCAGGGTGGCCCCACGCCGAAGCAGGGTGGCCCCACGCCGAAGCAGGGTGGCCCCACGCCGAAGCAGGGTGGCCCCACGCCGAAGCAGGGTGGCCCCACGCCGAAGCAGAGTGGCCCCACGCCGAAGCAGAGTGGCCCCACGCCGAAGCAGAGTGGCCCCACGCCGAAGCAGAGTGGCCCCACGCCGAAGCAGAGTGGCCCCACGCCGAAGCAGAGTGGCCCCACGCCGAAGCAGAGTGGCCCCACGCCGAAGCAGAGTGGCCCCACGCCGAAGCAGAGTGGCCTCACGCCGAAGCAGAGTGACCCCACGCCGAAGCAGAGTGACCCCACGCCGAAGCAGAGTGGCCCCACGCCGAAGCAGAGTGATTCGGTGCCGAAGCTGCCCCCTGTTCCCAAACCGGACGCACCTAAGCTCGACGCGTCTAATTCTAAGCCCGGTGCTCTTCCCTCCAATCCCGCACCTTCAGCAAAACCACTCGCGACCGTTCTATCAGCTGGTAGCTCACCGCTGGTAACGACCAAGGCCGTCAACTCGACTGGTGCAGCTGGCAACTCGACTGGTGCAGTCGGCAATTCTACCGCGCCGGCAGGAAATAGCACCAGGTCGGCGGGGAACTCTACCGAGACAGCGACTACTCCGGCATATGCCGTGGGATCGCGCGACTGCCAGTACGGGCAAGTCAAGCAGCTTCACGCATGCGCCGTTGGGTACGCGCAGTCCGCAAAGATCCGCGGCGGCCAATGGCCGACATCGTCGCTGTACGAAGTTGAAACGGAAGATGACACGGTGGTGAACGGGAGGCCCGTGGAGAAATCGTTACGGTTCGCGCTGATGAATTTCCCCGACGGAGTGATCATCACGTTTTCGCGAAGCATGGAGATCGTGCTACAGAGTAACCTGTTTTTACGTTCGCGAGTGACGATCGACGGGCGCGGCGTGCACGTGCGCATCACCAACGGCAGCATCGTCCTCCAGAACGTGAATGACGTCATCATTCACAACATCGAAGGTACGGAGTCGCTCTAGCTCTCTGGATACATCGTCGTACCTTTTCTTCTTCTCTTCCTCCGACCTCTTTTCTCCGATCATCCCTCACCTCTCCACCTCTTGCCCCTGTATTATCACACACTCAATCTTAGTCGAATTTCCCGTGTCCCCTTTCTGCCTCTTTGTGTGCTGCCGATATTCTAACAGTGTCGGGTAACCCGCGCGGCGATCTGATTCCCATCTACAACAGCAGCCGCGTGTGGATCGACCACTGCCGCCTGCAGGACGCCCTCACGGGCACAGTCGACGTGGCACGGGGCTCCACTGACGTCACCATCTCGAATAACTACATCAGCAGCCGCGGCCAGACGATGCAGGTAATGGCGTCACTGCGCCCCGGTATATGCGCACTTACCCCCTGGGGCTGACGATACACTCACAAATGAATACCAGTCGAAAACACGGAACTGCGCTTCTCGCTCCTGTTCGCCACTTAATTTAGATTTCTCCCCCTCTCCACCCTCTACCCCGGCTATCCCTCCCAATTCGCTCTTTATCTCTGCACAGCTTGGCTTGTCGGACACGGAGGAAGCGGACAAGAAGATGCGAGTCACGATTTACCGCAACTGGTTCAACACATCCGGATCCATGCAACCGCTCTGCCGCAAGGGCCGCTGCCACGTGGCAAACAACCTCTACACCCACTGGTCCTACTACTGCCTCGCCGCGCGCCGCGGCGCGCAAATCCGGTCAGAGAAAAACTTTTTCCGGCCGGCGCCGGGGTCGGCGCGACTGGAGGTGACGCCGTGGTATAGAGGCATGCCGGCCACAGATGTTTGGTTCGACGCTACAGTTACCATCGCGTCGTTCCAAGACTACTTGGCTGGAGGCGCGACGTTCAATAAGACGGCGTATGCCGGCCCCACTCCGATCTTCACGCCGCCCTACGCGCTGTCGCTGCCGCGGAATCCACGTCAGATGGCGTCTATTTTGAGAATCAACTGCGGTCCCAAGTACGATGTCGATTCCGCACTACCCCCTGCTTCGGGACAGTTCCTTCCGCCTGCCCCACCGACCCCATCCCCCACGACTCCTCCTGCGACTGCGAACACAACTTCTACTGGTAACAGCACTTCCACTGGTAACAGCACTACCGCTGGTAGCAGCACCAATGCTGGTAACAGCACCGTTACAGCAGCGTCGCCTCCGAGCTCGAACGATTGCCAGTATTCCACTGCGGGTGCCGGAATCGCCCTTGGGAGTTGCGCGATGGGTTTCGCCGCCCCGGGTTTAGTCGGCGGTGCTGGGAAATCCACATACGTCGTCACTTTAGAGGAGGATTCGACATCCGCTACAAGACAGGGTACGCTTCGGTGGGGCATCTCGAATTTCTACAAAACTGGCGCAGTTATTACATTCGCACGAGACATGACAATTCAACTAATGGCGCCGCTATATGTGAAATCGTTCATGACTCTGGATGGGCGAGGCGTCAACGTGAAAATCGTGGGAGACAGCCTGCTGGTGCAGCACTCAAGTCAAGTCATCATCCATAACATTGAATGTAAGTCATGATCCATGCTTCATAAAGTGCTTTCTAATTTACCTCCTTTTCCCCCCCTCTAGCACCAACATCTCCTCAAACCGGTGCCACCTTTACCAATCATTACCATTCCAATCTACACCACCTCAATATGCTCCCTTCTGTGCTTCTTCAAATTCCTCATCCTCCGTGCTTGCAGTTTCCAGTAGCAGGACATCCCCTGCAACCATATCTCTATACAACACCAGCAGCACTTGGATCGACCATTGCCGCTTCTCCAACCTTTCCGCCACCCTCCCAGCCATCGAGCTCGCCCGAAACAGTACCGCGGTTACCATCTCCAACAACCTCTTCTACGGCACACTCGGCACGCAAACCGTCACTGCCTCGGCAAGCCCAGCCTCGGGGACAGGCTCGGCACTCCACCTGGGCCAATCAGACGGCGACGGAATTAACCGTGACATGAACGTCACTGTCTACAGGAACTGGTTCCAGTCTCTATCTGCAATGCAGCCGATGTGCAGGCTAGGCAAGTGCCACGTGGCAAACAATCTCTACACCAACTGGACTGGGAGCACGGTGGAAGCCAGGGCGGCTGCTCAGGTGCTGCTGCAGAGCAACCTCTTTATAAGCGGACCCGATTCAGTACAAGTGGTGGCGAACACCACGTCCGTCCCTCCAGGTGTAGTCGCAGAAGCAGGTAGCAACACCACCAACACCACCAACACCACCAACATCATCAAGGCTTCACCCGGGGCAAGTGCAGCTGTCGCAGGGGCAGGTGCTGGTGCGGCTGCGGCTGGGGCAGGTGCTAATGTAACTGCAACTGCAGCTGGTACAGCAACCATGGGCCCCACTTTGAACGCCACTCAGGTGTTCACTCCGCCATACGACCTTCCTCTGGGGGACCCCAATGCCCTGCTCTTCGTTGTCTTCATGAAGCTGAACGCTGGTCCCCATGCCAACTGACATGGCAGCAGCCGTGGCATGGCAGTGCCTGTAACAGCTGACCTGTAGGGGCCTATGCAAACTGATTTGCCACCAGCCATCCCAACTGACCTGATGGTCCCCCCTTATGCACACCTCAGACTGCCCCAACTGACTTCTTCTCTCCCCTCTCCTCCTGGAATGTTTGAAGTGCTTTCAGATTTAGCAAGAGTGGATGGTGAGATTGCTGCAGCTGAGGCTGCATGCAGCTAGGCTATATAGAGATGTTCTGTCAGCGCTTCGATGACAGTAGAGATTATTAGAAGAGTGTCTGTAAGATCAAGTGGATAAACGTGGTTCATTTTCTCCATTTGTGTTATCTCTGCACTGATACAACACCCCTGATGAGATTGTGCAACCCTGGCACTTGCAGAATGTGACCTGGTCAAATGCTGCCTGGCTTAAACATTCCTTGCACTTCTTGTAGAGTTTCCTCTTGTTTTCCAAATAATCAATTATTGAAAGGCATCAGCATGCCTCTTTGCGCTAACTATTTCTTCGGTTTGCTACACAACACGGACTCTTTCTGTACTAGACCTACCTTCTGCATATACGGTACCAATGTCATCATCGCGATTCATGAGGTGATGAAACAACTGGTCGGTGCTTGCTGTTGCGTGAGGCAACTTGGTATCACCTATTCACCATTTTACACACAAGCCAACTCGTGTGAGCAACTCTTGAGCCAGCAGCTTCTGGCCCAGGCGATAGACCACACAGAGAGTCTTGTGCCACACGCTGCATGCACAGAGGCACACGCATGGAGACGGGCAGGCGCACGTAGGTACTGTATACGTCAAGCCAACAGAGTAGAAATTGAAGTTAGAAACTCGAACCCTACGATACACAGTGAGTCGTGTGCTGCGCGTGGCATACACATCAGGGTTCCCCGTGCCCTGTCCACCACACCACGCCCACCACACCCTGCTCACCTCTTATCCTGCTCATCTACGCCCGCATGAGCATTGAGCCATGCAGCGTCCTCTTCCGCAGTCCCCGTGCCCTGCACCATGCGGTCAAGCCTGAGAGCAGGGAGTGAAAAGGATGTGAGGTGACTTCGGCTCATCAATGTGTGCATGTGCGTTGAGCCATGCAGTGTTCTCTTCAGCAGTCCCCGTGCCCTGCACCATGCTGTCATTCCTGAATCAGGAGCAGGGGCAGGGGCAGGGGCAGGGGCAGGGCCAGGGGCAGGGGCAGGGGCAGGGGCAGGGACAGGGGCAGGGGCAGGGGCAGGGGCAGGGGAGATAATGGGGAAAGGCAGAGGAGAGAGTGAGAAAGGGCGACATAGAGAGAGAAAGGGTGACAGAGAGTGAGAAAGGGTAGGAGAGATCAGATCAGCACGTTATCATGTGAACTGATGCACTGAAAACACTGCAGAAAACAATTACCATATTGCAGTAAACTAGCAAACCTGAACCTCAACTCACCATCCCTATCCCATGACTCACCACCCCTGTCCCGTGACTCACCACCCCTGTCCCATGACTCACCACCCCTGTCCCATGACTCACCACCCCTGTCCCATGACTCACCACCCCTGTCCCATGAGCCCTCACCTATGCTGCAGAAGTTGTTGCAGCAGCAGCAGCGCCTGTGCATCCCCCCCCGCTGCCTCTCTCACTGCCTCGCTTGCGTCCTCAGGGCTTAGAGCCCCCTCCCCTGCTGCTGCCTTGCGCTGCCATGCAGGGTGGAAGGGAAGGGATGCGATGGGTAAGTTTTGCCGCTTGGCTAGTGAGATCAACGAACGGGGATGAGGGTCGTTTCGTGGCAACAGCAAGAAACCATTCGAGATTCTAACAGGGCAGGCAGCAGATGAAGCAGATGCCACGTGTCATATCCACGTCAGCCTTGCGTACCTCCAGGAGTGCTGACGTGGCAGCATCCAACTGGGCTTCTGTGAGTGAGAGCACTCGCAGTGCTGCCATCAAGCTAGAGGGAAACACATCCCCATGCTCACTCCCCTCTTGCTCCCCCCCACCCTCCTCCTCCTTATGCTGTCCCTGCTGCACCTGCACCTCATCCTGCCCCTGCTTGTCCTCCTGCCCCTGCTTGTCCTCCTGCCCCTGCTTGTCCTCCTGCCCTTGCTTCTCCCCTCGCTCCTGCTCCTTCCGACTCCTGGCAGATGAAGCACCGGCATACTGGCAATCGTTGTTGGGATACTTGGAGGAACGCGGAATGATCCATTGTAGTGAGAGGTCCTATAAGGGGGACAGAGCATGATTGCAGACATAGACGAGAGGAAGTGACTGGCAGCATGGGTATCACAGTCCAGTTTGAAGATGCTATGGGACTTTTGTTTAAGAGGCACTGTGAATGGATCAATGCAGAATGTAAAAGGAAAAGCCTGGGACCTGTATTGTCAGTGGCTGACGTGTCAGTACCTGACTCGTTAGCAGCTGATTCGTTTATACCTGCACGGCCAAGAGCTGTAGCTTGGTCTCGGCGCATGGGTCTTCCTGAAGCTGTGCCGGGGGGTAGTTGAGCTGGTGGGCATGGGAGGGCAATGGAAGTGGAAGAAAAAAGAGGAGAGGAGAGACGTGGGGGCAGGGGCATGTGTGAGAAGGCAGAGGTATGTGCATTGAAGGCAGAGGAGAGGTATGCATCATGCATGAATTTGCGGGGGATTGGGATGAGTGGTTGGGCAGCATACCATGAGGCGCTCGTGGGGGTTGTTGGGAATGGCGAAGCCATAAAGAAACAGAAGCTCCTGGTGTGAGAGAGTGGTGGGGAGTGGAGGTGGCGAGAGGAAGGGAGAGAGGAAGGGAGAGAGGTAGGGAGTGAGGAAGAGAGTTTCAGGAAGTGTCCTCAAGCAACTGCACATTGTCTTACCAATACTGAACAGTTTGAACGTGTCCCATTCAGTTTGCAAAAGATAGCGCTACCTAAAATCACCCGATTACCCCATACATAAGAGTACCAAATCGCTCTCACCTCGTTGCCCTTCTCCCCATAGCTGATGGTAACCTCGTTGCCTTGCACAGGAGGCACTACTGCAGGGCGGTGTGGGTTGGGGAGGGTGGAAAAGGGTGCAGAGGCGTGCTAGGAAGGATTGAAAGATGGGTGGCTTTGCGGCGCCACAAGAAAGAACCGAAAGTAAACTCGAGATAGGAAAACAGGCGGGTGGTTTTCGAGGCGGCCGCAACAAGACAAGATCCACACAGCACCAACTTCCAGCAGCATCACCTTGCAGCAGGCACACAGCGTCAGATTTGGCCATATGTTGAACTGGATGTGAGCCCGATGCTGAACCTGCTACTGCTCCATCTCCTCTTCCTTCCTCTTTTCCCTTCCCATGGTCGTCTCCCCAACTGCCATTGTTTCCAGAAGAGTGGGTAAGCTGGTTGGCTGTGAGAACCTCCCACCGAGCACAGGGCAGAAGGGCTGACGGACAGGGCAGAAAATGAAGGGAGAGAAGACCGAAGGAGAAAAGGAGTGGTCGAACAGGACATGGGAAATATGATATAACTTTTTTCTGGTCACATGGTCACTAATGAACTGAGGCGAGACACTGAGGAAGCAGGGAAGGTGGAGTGAACCACAGTGATTGCAGAAGTCAACTCCTGGGACAATCGCCTCTAGACTGTGTGGTGGGGAGTGGAGACGGGTCGGTTCTTGTGTATTCTAAAACAATCAAGTCGTCTAAGACGAGGTGACCCACAGTGATTGCAGAAGTCAACTCCTGGGACAATCGCCTCTAGACTGTGTGGTGGGGAGGACGCTGAAGGGGCGTCTACAGCATCGGCACCATCCGCACCATCAGCAGCAGGATCAGCATCAGAAACAGCAGCACCAGCAGCGGCATCACCAGCACCAGCATGTCCACCATCAGCATCCGGCACAGCGATGTTGACATAGGCAGAGAGGCTGGGAGCGAGCTGGAGGGTTAGAGCTCGCGACCAGAAAATGGAATTGGCCCTGAAAGAGTGGTGCACAGGGACGTATATGCAGAGGATGTACAGGACAGAGCAAGGTGGAAGGAAGGCAGGAGAAAATGGGAGAGAGAAGGTATAGATGGGTAGTTGGGGAGCGAGAGGATGGTGGGGGGAGGGGCAGTTGAGCCGATTCAGAAGTAACGAATCAAAGCAAGGGGCAAGTTGAGTAAGAAGAAGCGAGGCATTGGCCAGTGAGAGGAGAGGCACGTGAGGGCAGAGAGAAAACGGGCGCTGCATAAGTGGCAGAACGTGAGGGGAAGAGGGCGAAGAAGAACACAACAGTGGAGTTTTTGTTTTCGTACCAGAGAAAATCGTCCAAGGAGATGCAGCTGGAGGCATCGCCACTGTTCTGCTCCCCCTCTGCTTCGACCACCACAGCAGCAAAGATTGGCTCCACCTGCTCCTCGTACACACGCCTCAAGTTGGCCCTCTGAACGAACAGGGGATTGAATATGGAGACATGAAGAGTAGAGGAAAATCAATCAGCCCACCACAGCAGCAAGGATCGGCTCCAGTTGGCCCTCAATTCCACCTGCTCCTCGTACACTCGCCTCCAGTTGGCCCTCTGAACGAACAGGGAGATTCCAAAACACGCACACTGTCTACTTAGATAGCCCAATCAAATGTGATGCAGCAGCTGTCAGCCCACTGCAGCAGCGAAGATTGGCCCCACCTGCTCCTCTTACACACGCCTCAAGTTGGCCCTATGAAGGTGCAAGAGGATTCAATATGGAGCCGTACGTAGCAGAGAAAACACCATGAGATGTGATGTGGCAGTTAGCGTAGCAAAGCAGTAAAGATCAAGTCCACCTGCTCCTGGTACATGGGATTCGACTTTCAAGCACGCCTGACATTGCAAAAACTCCTCACGTTGCAAAAACGCCTCACGTTGCAAACGCCTACCTGCGCACATGCAGCGTTGTACAGAGGAGTGCCTCGCAGCTCCTCCAACGTGGCCTGGTCGAACCACAGAGGCGAGTCAAAGCACTGTGGCAGGCAGGAGAGGTAGCTGCAGGCAGGTGTGTGGGACGGGCCGTGGGGCAGAGGAAAGGGCAAGTGCGGGTTGATGGGTGACTCAAACAGGTCAAATATCCTGAAGGGAGCTATTTCCCCTCCCTGGTGCCATCGGTGCCGGCTGCAGAAAGAGTTTTGAGAACTCTGACAAGTCCATCCAGCAGGCCCCGGTTGTGTTTTGATTCGACTCAAAACAAGGAAACAGGAACTGGAGAGCTGTACCGAAGGACTTACGGAGCCCAGAAGGAGCGTTCTTTCTGGTGGCAGCGGTGCAGTGCAGCAGCTGCAGGAGGAGCACGAGCATGTGGTGGTCCAGCAGGCCCTGGGAGAGCAGGCTGGAGAGAGAGGATATTTCCGAATACTCGAACTGAAGAACTTACGGAGCCCAGAAGGAGTGTTCTTTCTGGTGGCATCGATGTAGCAGCAGCAGGAGCAGCACAAGAATGCGGTGGTCCAGCAGGCCCTGGGAGTGCAGGCGGCGCAAAGAGGCGCCATAGATGGGGTCTTGCAGGGCAGTGGGCGCGGAGAGGAGGAGAGAGAGCGGCACGGAGATGAGCACTGTGTCTGAGCGAGGGGGAAGAGTAGGGGGTGGTGACGTAGGGGGGTTGGGAAAAATGGGGAAATATAGGGGATGGGAGTGAGGGTGAGCATGCGGTGGTCCAGCAGGCCCTGGGAGTGCAGGCGGCGCAGAGAGGTGCCGTAGAGGGGGTCTTGCAGGGCCGTGGGTGCGGAGAGGAGGAGAGAGAGCGGCACGGAGATGAGAACTGCATCTGCAGGTGTGGGGATGATGTAGGGGAGAATGCGTAAGGGGATCGGGGAAGGGAAGATGGGAGAAATGGGGGAATGGGAGTAAGGGTGAGTTTGCGGTGGTCCAGCAGGCCCTGGGAGTGCAGGCGGTGCAGAAAGGCGCCATAGAGGGGGTCTTTCAGGGCGGTGGGCGCGGAGAGAAGGAGAGACAGCGGCACGGAGATGAGCACTCTGTCTGCAGGCGTGATGAGGGGATAGGGTGGCGACGTATGCCATAAGGGGTTGTGGGGAATGGGAAAACGGGGGAAATGGGATTCAGGGTTATTTCAATTTAGCTCAACAATCGTTTTGAGGTTGGCACAGAGATGAGCACTGTGTCTGTGGGTGTGGGAGGGAGTGACGAGCGGGGATGGCTTAAGAGGATGGGAGGAAGATCGAATTAGGGTGACCTGGTGAGTCGCCTCGACCGTCAATTGATGGCATTGGAGATGATCACTCCGTCGTCTTCACGACCATGCGGTTTGCTCGAGGCCACCGCATGTGCAGGTGTGCTGAGGTGTGGAGGATCACGCAAGTTTGGGAGTCACTTTTGAGAATTCCCATAAGTAACGCAAGAGGATTGTGAGGATTGTGAAGGAATGACAAGGAGTGGGAGGAATGGGAGTTGGCGAAAGCCTGGATATGGGGAGGGGTGAAACGGAGGGAGAACGGTATGGCAGAAGCAGGAAAATCGTTGGCGGATTAGCACCAGGATTGTGAAGGTCACCGAAGTGCAGATTCACAAAGCAGTGAAGAAATAATTCAAATTTGCTCGAAAGGAAGTCACAAAGACGGACCTCCATCGGCAGTATACATTCTCTCATCCGTATCCGATCTGGACAGAAAAACGCCGAATCCCGCACTGGCTGAAGCATGATCACCCGTAAGAAGCTCTGCTTCTGCAGCCTCAGCATCATCCTCCCTGGTTGCTACTTTCCCAGCCGCTGCGTCGCTTTCACGAGCATGCGATCCGTTCGCGGACGCTGTTCGAGCACTGCTCGTGTCATCGTCTGATACGCGTGGATTTGACGTAGCAAGTTTGGATTCAGACGACACGGAGGCGAATGACGCGACGGATGGCAAGGCTTTCGAAAAGCATTCACGAATTTTGCAGCCGGAAATGCGAGCGCCGTGTTCCTGAAGAGGAAATGAACGGGATTAGCACCAGGGGAAGCAATTGAATACGCGTCTGTCGCGTCGGATAACGTTCGGACTCAATGCCGAAGCGATTGGTCACCAACGCAATGTGGATGATTCACCTCAAGCCATGTCGTGAGAGCTGTACTCATGGCGGGAACGTGATGTCTGAAAATGAGACCTGGGTACATTCAGCGAAGGTAACTAGTCGTGTATTCTGAAGCCATTACTACGAGAGCTGGACTGTGTCCGACCTTGGGATTGCCTTAGTCTGCAATCAAGTCAATCCGTTGTCCTCGACATTGGCATCCAGATACTCGCCCTTAAGTATTTTACAAATCACGGCTTCCACAAAATGAAAATGTTACGCAGACAAAAGTAGAAATCACTTTCACCCAAGATAATTGTTGTTGCTCAATCAGTGATGACCAAGTCAGCTTCCACGTCCTTCGGATTCCGCAGAAAAATATCGAATCACAGCTCTCGAACGTCCCAGCTTGCCGCCGCACCCGTGCATTCAAAAAGCGGCATGTGTCCACTTCCAGCAAAAGGGGCATCGGACCACGAAAAGCGGTAGTACACGTGCGCAAAATGTAACTCGATCACCTGCACCAATAGTGCTCATTTTACGCGCAATTCCCTATGTGATCGGGTCGCCTGATTGCACTGAACAATACTTCCTTCTTGTAGTTACAAGAGGGTAACACTGCATCTGAGCCGTACGATGCAATGAATGCACCTCTAATCAATTGTTGGAATTCTCGCTCGGATGCAAGCAACTGGGAGTATTTCAGAATCGCTTGGCGGAGTCCTATAACATTCTAGAGAGCAGGTATATCTCACAGACCCGCAGTTTTTATTTTCAGTCTACGCAATCGAGACTTCTGTTGACCTCCACCTTTCTCCACCTTTTTCGCGAACAGAGAACCAGTCGATCGTAACAATGGCCACCGCGATCTCGCTCTCTGCACGCGTGCCTACCGTGCTTAAGGCCGAGAAGAGGACTGTTTCCGAAGCCAGCAATGCTACTGAGCTGGTAAGTTCGATTGAGAAATAGCTCATTCATGCGTTACACCTCTGTATGCCGCTAAACCCACGTTTTATCGCGCCCGTTCTTCGCCTCTGTTGCCGTTTTCACCTGGGATTCTAATGTGTCTTGTTCCCGCCTTACCAGGGCTTCGCTCGGTCGTTCCGCGTGAACAACAGTCTCGTAGGCCCATGCAAGCCCCTGAAGGCAACGAAGGCATCGAGATGCGTCGCAACTAAGGCTGCTATAGCGACAGAGAAGCCTCCCACTGATTCAGGTTAGTCATTTCAATAGACCCTAGGTCGAGCAAAATTGTATGATTTTCAAGTGACCGTTCGCTGACAAATTCATGTGTTTCTTTGTGACAGCGTCCAAGAGCAAGAGCAAGATTCGCATTGGAATCAATGGTGCGTCCTAGTGTTGGACTGCAGTCAGTTATCCCGTGTGTCGGCGTTTGTTATTTGTGAACACAACATGATTGCTAACATCCACTGCCGCTTTTCCAGGTTTCGGTCGCATCGGTCGTCTTGTTCTTCGCGTTGCTCTGGACAGGCCTGATGTGGAGGTCGTTGGTATCAACGATCCGTTCATCGACACTGATTACATGGTATTTCCACATGATTAGTCTATTACCTGTCATCGTCTTTCGTCACGTATATCTCTCCGTTTTCCACATTGTCATTCAGCGTTGGATCGTACTGATTCTTTCGTGTAACCATCGCCGCTGTTCAGGCTTACATGTTCCGCTACGATAGCTCCCACGGCACATACCCCGGCGAAGTTCACGCTGAGAGTGCGAACGCCATCAACATTGACGGACAAAGCATCGCGGTCTTTGGAAAGAGGTCAGTATCTAGTCTCCGGTAGTTTTTCATCCCGGATTCCATGTGACAATCAGCAAAATGATTTACGCTCACCGGTCGTTTTCATGTGCAGGGACCCAGCTGAAATTCCCTGGGGTGAATCCGGTGTCGACTTTGTGGTTGAGTCAACAGGTACAGGATAAAGAAAGTGCTCTCTCGTAGTAACGTTGCACAAGACGGCTTGTTGAGCAATGCACCTTTGTCATTGTGCATGCAGGTGTGTTTACTACTATCGGCAAGGCCGAGGCCCATATTAAGGCTGGCGCGAAGAAGGTAGTGATTTCGGCTCCTTCAGCAGACGCTCCCATGTTCGTGATGGGAGTCAACGACGAGAAGTACCTTCCTTCCATGAACGTTGTCTCCAACGCCAGCTGCACCACCAACTGCCTAGCTCCGCTCGCCAAGGTAAGGAGACAATATGAAACAAAAGATCCAAAATTACCTTAAACATTGATACTGTACCAGGAATGCACTGTCGCTTAATGCGGTGTTTGTTTAACATCCCTGCGTAACAGGTGGTTCACGAAGAGTTTGGCATTCTCGAGGGCCTTATGACCACTGTTCACGCTGTCACAGGTCAGTCTGCCAGAAAGCGATGCCTTGGTTTCGTGCTTAGACAGTTCCTGTGTCTTACGCTTGTCATTATGTCCTTTTGTGTTGCAGCCACGCAGAAGCCTGTTGATGCGCCATCGGCCAAGGACTGGCGTGGCGGCCGTGGAGCGGCGCAAAACATCATTCCCAGCTCCACTGGTGCAGCCAAGGTAACTGGGTCTATTTTTTTTTTCCACCTGAAAGAATTATGTTTGTACACTGATGTATGAGGATGTGAATGCGTGGTCAGGAATAGCACCTCAACATTTCTTTGGTGATATCGTGTGAATGCAGGCTGTAGGCAAGGTCCTTCCCGCCCTGAACGGCAAGCTGACTGGCATGGCCTTCCGTGTGCCCACTCCTGACGTGTCGGTGGTTGACCTGACTGTACGCCTGGAAAAGGGAGCCAGCTACGATGACATCAAGGCAGCCATCAAGTACGCTGAGCCTAGCTCCTGATTCTTTGGTTCCTTTCAATGAGTTCTAACATGTGAATCTGCTGGCTCTATATGCAGGGCTGCATCTGAGGGTCCTCTGAAGGGCTACCTTGGATACACAGAGGATGATGTGGTCTCCACTGACTTTTTGGGTGATCCCAGGTAAGCATACAGTCTTCCGCAAAGTTTTATGTGCTGGGTCTCTTCATAAAGCTTTGCATCTGATGAATGTCTCTGAGCATTGCAGGTCGAGCATTTTCGATGCCAAGGCAGGAATTGCCCTCACCCCTAACTTTGTCAAGCTGGTGTCTTGGTATGACAACGAGTGGGGCTACAGGTAATTGATGTTACGTTTTCTTTGCTGCAGCCTTGGACGCTGTGTTTAAGGACCACCTAACGATACCCATCTGTTTGCTGTCTCCACTTGCAGCAATCGCGTGATTGACCTGATTGAGCATATGGTGGCAGTTGCTGTTGCCGATGCGGGCAATTAAAACACATCAGATGCATTTAGTATAAGATGATGGCTTGTCATTTTCCTCGCTATTAGTGGAAAATGTGTGCAGGAAGATTGAAGACTTCTCTATTCCCATTTACCTCGCCAATAGAGTGCACATTTCCTAATATCATTCAGCACTTAGCAAGCGAGCGTGCTAACATCGGAGCAATTTTCAAGACCCGCGAAATATCACGTAAACGAAGTGAACGAAGAACAGATTTCAAAGAAGGGGCGAAGCGGACAGCTCAAACTGATGTGGCGTCCATGAATTTTGACGACCAGCAAACACCTCTTCCACGATAACGTGGACCCAGTTCGATCTGTCAATAGAATATCGCCACATGGCTTGTTCGTAGGTGATTGGCTGGTAGACTGCCACATGGGATCTGAGAAAGTAAGCACCTTTTTTAAAGGTCAGTGTTTCTCCTACATTTCGGTTTCCGGTCAGCTTACATAACCTGCTGATTTTGTATTTCAGGCCCCGACACTAACTTCAAATCCTCGTTACCTCCAAGAAAAGCCTACTGTACAAAGTGGGTATTCTTGTCCATTGCCTTACGCAAAAAAGGAGATGGAGCAAAAGAATTTTGGAGCAAAGCCGCTGTCTTGGTGCAGGCAAACAGTCGTTGGAAGTTCCAACCTCCAAATTCTGAAGCACCCCAAATTGACGGCTGGGGCTCTTCCCCCCAGTGTCTTCGCATCCATTCCCTTCCCCAGCAGCACAGCCCCTTTCCTGACCACATTTCGCCTAGGATTGCAGGCCATTCGAGCCAGTTGTGCAGCCCACTCACCACATTTACTACTAGCGCATTCTCAACTTGGCCCACCATCGAAGTTTGCCCACCAGCCCGTTTTTCCGAAGATGATGGTGCCTTTGGTGGGAACGCTCCCACTCTACCCACCGAACCTCATTTAGGCGGGCGACAGATGTCGCCAGCGTCGCATGTCCGATATCCAATGAAATTGACGCGCCAGCTCGCATACCAAGTGTTGGAGGAACTTGGTCAGGCAAAACCTAAACAGCCGTGCCTGACGATTGCGCCTACGTAAATTTTGGGCACAATGGTCATATCAAGTGAACGTGGGTTTACTTGGCAAAATCAAGTAAGCAACGCAGAAATGGGTTGCGTGGGCAGGAAAGAAATATATGTGACGGCTGTGTGCATGAAACTGGCATGTCTAACACTAGTCCCAACACCCAGCGAACGTGGCACGATCTCCATTGTCGTACACTGACGAACAGGCCAGGAATTGCGACCATGGCCGGTTGGACTCATGGTGGCCAAGCTTCGAATCGCGTGGGGAAACTCTCCAATGTAAAATAATGCCACGTCTTCAGTTCGAGTCGCGTGGGCAAACTTCTGATGGTGGGGAAATTTGAGAATACGCCCTAAGCTGCCTACCAGGATTGAGTTTAGACCCCGCACGAAGTCGACGCTGTATGTACCGACTGAAACACATCACGTGTCACAAGTTCGTCAGCGTGTCCGGCTTTCCCCGAACTCCTCTTAATAGTCGCCGTCCAGACGGTCTAAAGCTCCTTTTTTTGAACGTCGCTGCGGGGAATCTTCGCATTCTTCGTCGCCAACCGTACACTTCGTCAAACTGATGTCGCCTGTACATGCCCGCTCCTCGTTGTACGCGCCAACAGCAACCCCGCTATCCCCACTTATGCACTCCCCCAACAGCACCTTGCCCCGTCAACGGTGCTGTAGACCCTCCGCCGTCTCAACACCCCCTCGGATCCCTTCAATCCTTCCTTCCCGCGCTTCCCTAATCTCACGGAGCATCGTAAGCCCAGCCTTCCCGACTTCCTATGAGAAGGCCCGATTTTCCCGCGGCACCGTAGGAGCTGAAACCAGCGCCTGTTGCGGTAACAGCAGCCGCTATCGCCGCTCCGCCATTTTTTGCGTGTCGTCTTCCGCGCATTCCTCACCCGCTCGTGGGGGATTTATATCCGCGGGGAAGAATGTCGATACGAGGTGGAACTCCGCATATGCGCGGAGCAACCAGGGAACGCAAAATGGGATCTGTTCGCGGGGAGGCGCTGGGGTTCCAAACAGGCCATTTCTTAAAGGCATGGGGGTGGGACCGGGGCTTCGGAGAACAGGGGGGGACGAATTCGGGGGAAGTAGAGGGGCGGGGGAAGTTGGTGTGCGAAGAAGAGTGGTGGTGCGAGCTGTGGGCCCCGAAATAGGTTCAAATGCGGCGTACGATGTGATTGGGTCGCTGGGGCTCGATACACTCACGTTCCTGGTGGCCACCGTTATTGTTATCCCGGCTTTCAAAAGCCTCAAAATAAGCCCGGTAAGGCGGGACAGCGTATCTTACCCACTGCATACCTTCACTAGACAGGAAAGCGAACGACGGGCCGTTATGAAGCTTGCGATTCCGTTCGCGTTCCTTTCCCTCACAACGTTGGCCTCGTAATTTCTTACCTCCGCTGTTTTGGGCTCTAATGCTTTGCAGATTCTCGGATTTCTTCTATCGGGTGTTGCTCTTAACGAGTTGGGGCTCATTCGGAACATCACCGACGTGAAGGCACTTAGCGAGCTTGGGATTTTGTTCCTGGTGAGTGAGTATAGTGCTGCCATTGTTCTGCTTTTTGTAACAAAACGGCGGTAATTCGAAGGTACAAGAAAAGGCCAGATGCAATTGAAGAAAGGTTAAGAAAAGTAGGGTACCACATTTTCCTTGCGCAGTCAAGAGCTCTATTGACGCACTAGCCAGGTGCACGCGCACGAACTTGTGAATGACCATCGCTCCGCCCCGTCCCCATCACTTCGCTCCACATCACTCCCCATCTCCGCACATCTGTCTACGTGTGCAACCCCCGTCTCCCTCTACCGCCCCCATGACAGCTCTTCGAAATGGGCCTCGAGCTCTCCCTCGAGCGACTCAGAGCACTCGCCAAGTTCGCATTCGGCATGGGCCTTCCGCAGGTACCACCTGTTCCTGACGCCCCACTCCCCAGGTACCACCTGCTCCCGACGCTCCCCTCCCCAGGTACCACCTGCTCCCGACGCTCCCTTCCCCAGATTCCTCCCTTCTCCGTAGCCCTTCCCCCATCCGCCTCCTGTCATTACCTTTTTTTTGTCTCATCTCCCCACATCTCAAGGCGGCCAGATCCCCGAATCTGGTTCAACACATTTCCTAGAACCCTCTGTTGGCTGATTTTTGAGTCGACTCAAAAATCAAGAACCCTCTGTTGACTCTGCATCTGTCTCCTCCGTCCATCTCTCATCACTATCCTCCACTCTGCCACCCAATCCCTACCTCATCCGCCTTTCCCAGTGTCTTTGAGCCAGCACCACACCTTACTGGTTGTCCTCTTTCCAGTGCTAAGCTCACTAATACAGTTCCCACCCACGGTACTATTACTTGCTTACTCTCTCCCCCGCCCGCCCTTCCTCTTTCTTCCTCCCTCCCTCCCTCCCTCCCTCCCTCCCTCCCTCCCTCCCTCCCTCCCTCCCTCCCTCCCTCCCTCCCTCCCTCCCTCCCTCCCTCCCTCCCTCCCTCCCTCCCTCCCTCCCTCCCTCCCTCCCTCCCTCCCGCCCTCCCTGCCTCCCTCCGTCCGTCCCCCTGTCATCCCTACAGGTTCTCCTCACCACGCTTGATGGAAGTAAGGCCTCCGCAGCCCACCTGTCCTCTCTTGACAGTTCCCTCCCTCCCGCCCTCCCCCTGTCATCCCTACAGGTTCTCCTAACGACGCTTGCCTTCACAGCGTTCGAGCTGCCAATCGACAATGCCATCGGCACCCGTGCGCTCGAATTTCTCTTTGGGGCCAAAGCTGATCTGGTACGTTCTCACCTACTCTACTCTAGTCGTCCCTCAAAACACACAAGCAAAAGCCAGCTGTTCTGTAGCATACAAGCTCGAGAGATAGCTTTCGTGCTGAAAAATCAGAGGTTCTTGCATTCTGGCAAGCGGCTCTAAATGCCACTACCTATCCATGCTTGCCCGGCCTGGGTATCTTGTGCTTGCATGCTCCTTTGCAGGTGAACATCCGGTCGCTAGATGAGGCCATTGTCATTGGAGCTGCTCTTGCGCTCTCCTCATCCGCCTTCGTGCTTCAGGTGGGCTCATGCTCATGCTCTGCACAGGTCTCACGGTCTCTTCAGGGCTCAGTCAGCATTATTCCACCGGCATTCAATTTGTGTCCAAGCGCTATTCAGTCAGTATCTTTTCGAGTGCCAGTCCCACAAGGTACACATCCATTATAAGGTCCATTACCAGCAATCAGCAAACATTCCCACTCATGAATCCCCTTCTCTCTCCACTCGCCTTCCTCCCCCGTTCTCCCCACCGTTTCCGCTTCCTCCTCTCCGCGCCCCCTTCAATTGCCTCATGCAGCTTTTGTCTGAAAAGGGTGAGCTCGCCACTCGCTACGGATCGGCAACTCTCGGCATCTTGCTGCTGCAGGACATTGCAGTCGTCCCTCTGCTCGTCATTCTCCCCATCCTTGAGAACGGGGTAAGAACCAACCACCAATCAACAGAGACATGAGAAGTTATGATACCTCCCATTCCAGAACAAACAGCACGGCACCTATTGACTGGACACAATGTTGCATCATGGGACGGCATGGGGCAATATGCTGACAAAGGTCACATCTTATTCCATTTAGGCCTTGGGCAATATGCTGACAATGGAAAAGGGAACAACTCACTTGTTGTCATTGTGAAAAACTATTGTAACGTACTCACAAGCGCACCTTACACGCCTTTGAGGCCTTCACTGGGAGAGCGCACAGCTCACGGGACACAGCACGTGCGTGATCATCACCACACCAACACTAAACGTGGTTCTATTCTGCACCTGTTCACAACCTGATTCCTCACAACACAAAGGTATTGGCTACTCACCCGTCCATGCGATTTTACATCCCATCCCCTCATCTCCGTGCACATCTCCTCCTCTTCTCATGTCCCCCCCAACATCCCCGTCATCTGCCCCCACCCCATTCCATGCCCCACCCCTTCCCCACGCCCAGGA